AATAAAAAATAAAAAAAATTTACATTTTTATTTACATTTTTTCCAAAAATAAACCGTTTTGCAGTATTTTTATTTTACGTAACTCTGCATCCATCAGCCCAGTAAATTATGAATAATTGACTCAGACACGACATCATCATATCATCAACCGACAGGCGACAACAACTTTGATCCCAAATCCAAAACGACCACGTTGCTTCATTGTTCACTTTTTTTAGAGTGAGCTTCATTGTTCATTGATCCAGGGGGCAGGGGGGGGTTTGTCTTTTTTGGGTTTGTACCATAATCAACACTTGCTCGAGTTCCTTTTATCTCTTTTTTTACTCCCTAGCCGTCTATACTTTATTCTAAGGATGCAGATGCAATGATACTTCTCAATAATCTCAATTTGTAGTGATTAAAACAAATATTAGTAATGCACGTCGAATTTATGCTAATTTTAAAGGTGCTATTCTACCCTGGAGTTGATATCGTTAACATGTTTGATGTTTCCATTAACCTAACAAATAGTTGTGGTTATCAATAATTTAACTAATTTGTTAATAATTTTTTAATGAAAATAAAAAATTTTAAATTTAAATTGTATAATATATAAAGTAAAGTAAATTAAAAAATGAGAGAATTTATTTTTTATTACACAATTTAAAATAAAAAAAATATGATTAAATTATTATTTTTAAGAAATATATTGAACAAATGTCAGTTAGGAAATTAACCGTTCTATTTAAAATGAGTAAAACTTTTAATTTTTTTGAACTTTCTTGTTCTTTTTTTTTTCGCTTTTTTCGTTTTTTCTTTGTTTTCCCCCTTCCCACATTGGATCCATTTGGCTTTGGTTTGGAACAAAATATGAGAACAGGTAATTCCAATCCAATATGAAAAAGGTAAAGATGCAAACAAATTATTGGGTGTGGTTATCACCACATGCTACATTGTTAGGGTTACAAAAATTTTGATTTTTTTTGGTAAATAATTAGTTAGGATATATGAAAATATCAGTAAATAAATTAATTTTAATTTGTTAAATAAAAAAATATTAACTATTTTTTTATTTGCTAACTAAAAATTATAGTTATCAATTATTTTTAATAATTAAATTAAATAAAATCAATAATTTTAAAATTTTAATATTTTAAAATTTATATCACGATCACTTTTTTTATGGGTGGCTATAACTTTACCCCAAGTTATTGCCCTCTATATTTCTCTGACCTACGTAAGCCACACTTGTCCTTAATTATTTAAAGAAGAATTCTCAAGAGGCAAAACCTCCTCTTTTTATTTTTTTATTTTGAAGCCCTAAACTTCTTTCGAATTAACACATGAGCTCCTGAACTAGAAATAATGCAAATAAACTTCAAACCTCGCAATTTTCAAATGATGCAAATTAACTTTCAAATAACCTTTTAAAAGATACAAATAAACTCTAATCATTAACGGATCAATGCATGTTACTCCACGTCATCCTTTTTTTT